TATGAGCAGACACTTAAGAAAGGGGGCATTGTTGGGCGTGTGCCAGGAGGTAGAGCCAGTTAATATTAAAGCAAGGAATACAACTGTGAAGAAAGAACATACACTTCCAGAACATTTGACTGACCTCTATAAGAAGAGCACAGTTTATTTGGCATCATCACAGGCTCTTCAGGTAAAAGAACTTTTTGCAAATTATGCTGACGTCTTTTCGAAAGGAGATCATGACCTCGGCTGTACAAACCTGGTAGAGCACAGAATAAACACAGACAATCACCGTCCAATAAAGAGCCCTACGAGGAGAATAGCTCCAGCAAAGAGACGTTCGTTGGGAATTATAGCGTTTGTTATAGAGCGACTATTGAAATTAAGTGTATCGTAAAGAATAAACCAGTTTTATTTAAGAAAGGACTTGTGTCGCTAAAGTTTCGTCATAACGAATTTACAGAAAATTACCTAACGAACGGAGACGTAACAATACTATTACAAGCTAAATGCTACATGATCGCTCGGCAAATATTTGAAGTTATTCTCAATCGTTGGATATTATAAACAAAACTCGAGATATGTCGCAGTATACATACGATATAGCACGTGTGTCTTATCTGACTACCCCATTAGTGGAGAAAAAATATTTTACATCGTTTTTAACAGAACTTTAGCGGAAGATAAAACGTGATGTATGGAACTTCATTTTGAAAGAAAGTGACGTCAGAGTAACGTACACCAATCTTTATTTTATTTTTAAGAAGATAGTATAAAAACAAACTTGTAAAGCATGTTTTTTGTTTGTTTTTTTAAGTTGCTAGTTTTAATAAAATAAGTAACGCTTAATGTTGAGCCGGTGATGAGTAACAATTAGGCCATGGAAACAGGAAATCATGCAGTTGTTGCCTGGATGTCACTGGTCTATTGTTGCTCCTGTACATGTTTGTATTTCTCTCAACATGTGTATTGTTGACAGAGTTTAGTTATATTATTGATAATAAGGACAAATATATTACATGTTAAACATAATACTAGTAATGAATTTGTTGAGCTGATAATATGAAGCTTGTTTGGCAAAATAGAAAGTTAAAACGCTATGAACAATGTGTTTTTGGTTATTATTAAACGTACAAGCACCGAGTAATTAATTATAATATATATTTATTATTGTTTGTATAATATCGTCAGGCTGGTTATTTTATTGATGCTTGTTTAATAAAAATACCTTGGTTTTAGTTATATAAGATTTATAATATAAATATATTTGTTTTAGCTGGAGATCGTTGTAGTAAGAATGGTTTGGAATAAAATCACAGCGTTTTAAATTGCTTTGAAAGCACTTGGACTGCTCCTCAGCGCCTTGTACAATGCACACATCTCCCATTATTATTTAATTGTATATTTATTAAGACTGAAAATTCTCAAAATTTATACTATATTTATTTTCAAACATACATTTGAAATTTATCCACATTTAAATGTTCAATGTGAAAATTAACTATTCTGCCTCCCACCCAACCCCTATTCTCACTGTTTTAAGTATGAATGAGGTTTCCTTTGGACGGTGATTAGCTCACAGTGACACTTAACATCCCAGAATAATGCTTGTTTGCTGATTTTACTTATTTCGGAACTTCACGCAAAGCAATACGAAGGATTTCTTTATACAGCTGTCCCTAATTTTCAACTAATAAGCAAAACTGAAGACACCATCTCCCAACCCTTAAGCTACTCTAGTCTGATCGAATAGTCAGATGTGCCCGTTTACTCTTGCAACATGCCCACGGCTTCAACGTGCGGACGACAATGGGTCACGAACCATGAATTCTTGGGTTTACAGTCCGGGCAAGCTGACCACTAGGCCTCGTTCGACCGGTGGTAAAAGAATGAATAGATTATTTCAAACTATTCTAATTCTAAACTATTCTAAACTAATTGTCTGTGTGCGATAGTTTAATACAGCAAACTTTCACTTGTTGAGCTATTCAACACGAAACTTATGAAGATACAAATTCGAGGTGAAATTTAGTTTTTCTTTTATTCGCTATGTAAAAGATAGATAGGATATGAATAGTTATTTTCTAGGTCGGAATGGGGGGGGGGGTAGTATTTTTATATCTTTCGGGTTTCTTATTCCCTAATTAGTATGTATTTGTTTCGTGAGCTATGAGAATAGGTTCAGTTTGACTAACCATCGTTTCTATGTAGAGTCCAATGGTTTAATTTCTCTACTCGTGCATTTAAAGCTTGTGGCTGTTGGCCGGGTATCGATGCGGAGAGCCGTTTTCAAGAGGACCGGCCGAGCGTAGGACCAACCTATTGGCTTAGACGCGCCTAATCTGGGGCGGGACGCGCTAAGCTTGTCACGCACTGTCCTCACGCGCACTACCTCTCGCAGTAACAATAGTTTACATGTGGGATATTGTAGGCATTGGGTCTTCTATTTAGTCGCTGCTATCCTCACTGACAGATAACAGGTCATTGCTGACGAATGCAACTTCCGCCCGGTTGTCGATTGATACAAGTTTCAGTGCACATTGTTAGAAAAAGGAACTCTCGTCTCGGTTACCGCAGTGTCGCTGCCCCTGGACGAGAAACGGCGATTTTTAATTCGGGTCTCGAGCGCAGGTAATAACGGTCAGCTTTAGGCAATCTACTTTTGTAGCATAGTCACCAGCGCCTATTACAGCATAGGGCGTGAGTGGGCAGTTTTGGTCAGCCAACTGTAAACATGGTCAGTCTAATGTGGATATTAATTGGGATGTCTCAGATGGTAACTTGGATTATAATAGGTCAGACCAAGGTAAGTTTGGTTTCCAAAGCCATGTTCTTTATATTTTTCAATTATTTCAGCACTGAAGGATTTATTATTAAAAAAAAACAACGACTTAATATCATCATTTGATCTGAGCTATTCTTTAGGTGATATTTGCCCTCCACCTCAGCTGTAGATCAGATGGCTTATAACGCTAAAAATCGGGTTTCGATACCCGTGGTGGGAAAATCACAGATAGCCCAATGTGTAGCTTTATGTTTAACAACAAACAAACAAATATCTTAACCTTTTAATAGATATGTAAACTTCTAGTACTATCTAGGTGCTGTCAACTTTAAAGTTTCTAACAGTTTGAAACTCGTGTGTTATTAAGTGTAACCTTCTAACATGCAATTTAATTCTATCTAGACGTTGACAATGTGAAAAATAATTTTTAGATACAACCTAGAATATGCACGTAGATAGTTATGTGGTAATATTTTCGTTTAAACAGATGATAAATATTTTTGGAGAGTACATCGCAGAAAAACAGATAGATGGTTATCACTCTACGCAGTTAGGAAATATATGTTAAGGAATGACTTGTTTGTATTAAACAAATTCCTGTACAGGCAGATGGCTATTTTGGTGCTACATATATCTTTGTGGCTGGTGTCTGGTACAAAGGTGCTATATTTCCATGCTTGATACATCCCTGTAGACAAGTTGCTAGTTTCGTGTTAGATACAGCTTTATGGAAAAGTGTTAGTTTGATACATCCATGCAGAAAAGTGACTGGTTTCGTGTTTGATGCATATCAAACATAGACATAGTGATAGGTAGATAAGTAGCTAGTTTTATGTTAGATACAGCTTTATGGAAAAGTGTTAGTTTGATACATCCATGCAGAAAAGTGACTGGTTTCGTGTTTGATACATATCAAACATAGACATAGTGATAGGTAGATAAGTAGCTAGTTTTATGTTAAATATAGCTGTATGGAAAGGTGCTACAGTTCCATGCTTGGTACATCACTGTAGACAAGAGACGAGTTTCATGTTAGATACATATTTATCGAAAGGTGCTATTGTTTCGTACTTGCTACATCCCTGTAAACAACTGGCTAGTTTTGATTAGATACATCTTTATTGAAAGGTTTTATAGTTCCGCGCATTTGATACATTCCTGTAGACAAGTGGCTAGTTAAATGTTAGATATTTCTTTGTAGAAAGGTGCTTTAGATCTGTGCTTGGTACATCCTTGTAGACAAGTGGATATAGTTTTACGTTAGATATGTCTTTGTGGAAAGGTGCTATAGTTCTGTGCTTGGCACATCCCTTTAGACAAGTTGCTAGTTTCATGATAGATATATATTTATGGAAAAGTGCTAGTTTGATACATCTGTGTAGAAAAGTGTTTTCGTGTTTGATACATCCTTGTAAACATGTGGCTAATTTCATGTAAGATGTATCTTTGTGGAAAGGTGCTATAGTTTCATATCTGATATATTTCTGTAGACAGGTGGCTAGTTTCATGATAGATACATCTTTGTAGAAAGCCACTATAGTTTTGTGCTTGATAGATCCCTATAGAAGAGCTGGTGGTTTCATGTTGAATATATCTTTATGGAAAGGTGCTGTAGTTCCGTACTTGGTACATCTCTGTAGACAAGTGGCTAGGTTTGAGTAGCTTCATCTTTATGGAAAGGTTCTATAATTCCATGCTTGATACATCCCTGTAGACAAGTGGCTAGTTTCATGCTAGGTACATCTTTAGAGTGGAGGCTGTTTCGTATATGATACATTCCTGTGCAAACGTTATGTAAAACAATTGATAAAAATAGACAAACATAGAAATAACATATGGTAATGTTGATTGTTTATCGCAAGATCTCGCCACTAAGTTCTTCATCTGGATATTACGATGTTTCCATATATCACTAAAATTAAGATAAATAATGATTGTTATTTTCAATCATTTATTTCTAATCACTACGTTTTTCACTTTAGTTTTATTGTTTATTTTTGTGGCATTTTAATACTTGAAATACAGCCGTGTAAAGATTCGGCGGGTATTGTGTTGGGTACATTATTGTTACAATTGTTATTGTAATAGTTACAATGCTCTAGGAAGTTTGCTAAGTTTGTGTAAGACACTTCTCTGACTGAGTAATGAAGTACGCGTATCTGTTGAGTTCCTGAATTCTGATAATATCATACGACTTTTAGTTAGAGTTTTTATACATACTGTAGCTTTACTTATAGGTGAGTTATAAAAACATATTAATTTGAAATTGCATAATGGCCTGGAATGGCCTGGTGGTTAGGGCACTCGACTCCCAATCTGTGGGTTGCGGATTGGAATGCCCGTCACACCAAACATGCTCGCCCTTTCAGCCGTGGGGGCGTTATAATATGATGGTCAATTCCACTATTCGTTGGTAAAAGAGTAGCCCAAGAGTTGGCGGTGGGTGGTGATGACTAGCTACCTTCCCTCTAGTCTTACACTGCTAAATTAGAGACGGTTAGAGCAGATAACCCTCGTGTAGGTTTGCGCGAAATTCAAAACAAACAAACAAACAATATTGAAAGGAGTGGCTTCCTGAGAATTTGAGAGAGAGCTAAAATTATGTTAACAACAAATAGCTAATAAAAACAATACTCAAATCAACCAAGTCTGGAAATGTATATACACAGTATATCGTCATTATAAAAACGAAAAAATACATTTCACATCGTCATTGTTTAAGGTATAACTCTATTAAAAACAATACTCAAATCAACCAAGTCTGGAAACGTATATACACAGTATATCGTCATTATAAAAGCGAAAAAATACATTTCACATCGTCATTGTTTAAGGTATAATTCTAATAAAAACAATACTCAAATCAACCAAGTCTGGAAACGTAAATATACAGCATCTCCTCATTATCAAAACGAAAACACATTTCACAACGTTGTTTAAAAAAAAAAAATCACTGCCCCCTCTCGTTTATAATACATTCCACTTCCACCCCTTTAGTTTATGCTCAAGCAACTGTAACCCTTTTTTAACCTCGCCCATCATTGTTATTTGTTACAGGTTTCTGTTTATGGCTGTGCATAAAAATTACTTAAAACTAAATATCCAAGAAAATTGAGATAATTATGTAATGATTTTTATCCAAGTCCCCAAAACTCTTTTATTTTTTAACAAACACCTATTACTGACGCCGCTATATTTGAGCTAAAAATTGTTTAATTAGTTAAGTATCAAAGTGGACTGTGGAGTACTTGTACTATAATGATACAAAATCTTTAAATACCCTACAGTAAGTTACGTGTTACACGAGGGTCTCATGATGGTGGTGATTATATTGAACTATGACAAACTGTCCAAAAATCAAGGTCCCTTATTATTTTAGTTCATATAGGAGTACAAATAGTGTAGAACTAACTTTACTAAGCCGTTTCTTGAAACACTTCGTTTGGCACCATCAAAAAAATAATAATAATAAAAACTGAAACTCCGTTTCTTAGAAATATAAATGTTATGTAAAACGGTAGGTGGAAAAAAAATCTCTTCCACATTATGGTTTGTCACTTTAAATTGGATGTGTAATTGTTTCGTTTCCTCTAAGTAACATAGTTGTTTAGGTAAGTCATTTGTGAAGTCACACTTGTGTACGGGCTTAGAAAAAAAATTCAAGCCAATGATTCAAATTCAAAACAACATTGTGACCAAACACCCACAATAATTGCCTAGGTTTGTTTAAATCATATTATAATGTGTGTCTGTATCATTCTGAGTTTTCTCTTCCTTGTGGTATCATGACAAGAGTTTCACTTCTAAGTGTTTGTCTGATACTTCGTGGTTCAGGTTCGTTGGTTCATTTATCTTTAACCTCTCAATCAGAACCTTTCTG